ACCATATATACAGATTCAAACTATGCATATGGAGTGGAACATGCCTTTGGGAAAATATGGGAAGAGAGAGGGTTAAGGCAGGTTTTACAAGTCCTAAGGTATCCGAAGAAAATAGCGGTGGTACATGTCTGCGGGCATCAAACCGGACTTGGGGCCTCTGTTAGGGGAAATAACTTAGCTGATAAGGAATCAAAGCGAGCTGCCCTGTACTCCATAAAAAGTAAATCTGCCATTACACAAAGAGCAGACTGCACCACTCGCAGAAACGATTTAGAGGAAAGCCCATGCTGGGCTTGTTGGAAAACTTTTGGGATTGATGCTATTGAATGGGCCTGTAACAGCCCTGATAAAAGCCACTGTTGGTTCCATGACCCTATTAACCACTTGATGTCATTTACCCTTCAAGAAAAGGAAAAACTAAATCTAATAAGGGTAAAGGAAGAGGAAGGAGGCAAATGGAGGCTGCCTGATGGGAGGGAGGTGCTCCAAAAGGGAACAGCTCTAAGAATTTTACAGACCATCCACAAGACACATTGGGGTACCCAGGCCTTAGTCGATCAGTTTGCTATTAAGTATATGTGTATAGGAATATATAACTTGGCCAAGCAGGTGACGCAGAGTTGTTTAACCTGCCAAAAAGTGAATAAACAACAGCAGAGAGAAGGGGGGAGGGATTTGGCACAGCGACCCTTTTCCCATGTGCAAGCGGATTTTACTGAGCTACCTAAAGTGGGAAGATATAAATATTTGTTAGTATTGGTCAACCACCTAACTCATTATATGGAAGCTTTCCCCACTGCCTGGGACACCTCTAACGCAGTAATGAAGATATTACTAGAGCAAGTTATACCGAGATATAGTATGATAGAAGCCTTGGACTCAGACAGGGGCCCCCACTTTACCTCTAAAATCGCAAAGGATGTATTAACCGCTCTGGGAACACAATGGAAATACCACACTTCATGGCATCCCCAGAGTTCTGGGCGAGTGGAGAGAATGAATGACGAAATTAAGAAACAACTAACAAAATTGATGCTGGAAACAAAGATGTCTTGGGTATAGTGCTTACCATTAGCGTTGCTAAACATTCGCACCCAGCCTCAGACTGATGTAGGCATATCTCCTTTCGAAATGCTCTTTGGGATGCCTTATGACATGGAAGCCCCTGTAGACCATCCTTGTCTAAAGGATTCACAAATTAATTCCTACATAATCCAAATCATGAACAGAAGAAGAGAGCTCAGAGAAAAAGGACTAGTGGTACTAAGGCCCCCTCTAGATTTGACAATCCATAAGATCAAACCGGGAGATAAAGTCCTTATCAAAACCTGGTGAGAGGACTTTCTCACACCTCGCTGGGAGGGTTCCTTTCTCGTTTCGCTCACTACAGAGACTGCAGTCCGAACAGCAGAAAGAGGATGGACCCACGCCAGCCGAGTTAAGGGACCAATTGCTACTGCTGCTGACCAGTGGAAAGTAACCAGCCAACCTGGAAACCTGAAGGTCACTCTGAAGAAGAGTTAATGGACTCAAGTTGGGTAATTCAGGTGGATTATAAGGGACAAGAGATAGGATGTACTTATCCCTTAGCTAATGATTACAGAGTAATATGTAAAGAACCTCCATGTGATTGCTACCCTTTTGTATGCTTTGATTGTAAAATTTGCCAAGAACGGTGGTTGGGTCCATTGTCACCGGGGTAGACCTCCTACGGGGATCTGCTCTGAATGCTACAAATTAGAGCGGGAATTAACAAGAACCACACTCGAGTTAGGGGAATTGGGAAATAAATGGGTAAGGTTCGAATCAGAGGAATGGTGGGAAATTTTTAGAAAAGGAATTAATCCTAACCATTATTGCTTTCATTTAAACGAACCTATCCCATTTGTGACTCACTTGGTCGACCGGTGTTGCTGGAAGAGTGTGAAAGGAATACCGTGCACCTCACCCCCGGTCAAGGATAAGAACTAGGCACAGTATGAGACCCGAAAGGGGAAAAGGAGTGAAGGTACCAATCAGTACCACTTCTGCCGAGAAGATGGTAACCCCCGTGGCTCGATGCACCTGAGTTGGCGGGCAAGGCAGAGGGGAAGGAACCGGGCCTCCTCCAATCCCACCTGGAATGTTGTTAAAATGCTCCAGGAATTGCCAACCAGGTATTAAAGAATGTCTAAAAGAAGGCTGCTGGGAGAGCCAAGATGCGCCATGGAATAAATTGGGAACTCAGAAGCCCTATGGGCCAGGAATTAGGACTGGACTCCACCCTTACTAGCAAATTATGTGCACATTAGTTATATGTTGTGTCCGGCCTGTACAAGGGGACTATACACACCAACCATTTAATTGGACTCTGACCAGCATCGATCGAGGGAAGATTGTTAAGTATAATGCCACCACAGGATCTCCCACTTTTCTTGTTTACAGTGAGGATTTGTTCAATTCTATGTGGGGATGGGCAAAGTGTGACTTCCATTCTACCTAGGTGTCCTAATTCCAATTCTGGGAGGGGGTATTGTAATTATCCTGGGGAATATCTGTGCGGATATTGGGGCTGCGAGACCATAGCCACCGCCTGGGCTGTTGCCCATCCAGATAACTTTTTGAGGGTTTCATGGTACCCTGAGAAATGCAGAGCTCCATGATATGGCCTCCAAGGGGAAGTTCTAGACAAGGGGAATTGTAAGTCCCTACAAATACAGGTACTCGACCCCCAGGACCCAGGATGGGTAGTAGGTAGGATTTGGGGAGTAAGATGTTGGGAAGCTGGTTGGGATTGTGGAGGTATGTCCAAATAAGAAGAGAAATCCTACCAAATGACCCTGTACCTATAGGTCCTAACCCAGTAATATCCAGGGAGCTGATAAACATTCAAAATAGCTCAGACACGACTTGGGTGGTGAGCACTCAAACTGTAATACCCCGCTGGAAGACTCTCAATATCATACTCTTTTCAAACTCATAGAAGGAGAATATAACGTTTTGAATAGAACCGGGCCCCAGTTAACAGAACACTATTGGCTTTGCCTTGACATCAGACCCCCTTTTTATGAGGCTATAGGGGTATTAGAAAAAGCCTGGAGAGCAAATGGCACAAACCCCCCTTCCTGTGGGTGGGGAGACAAGCAGGCACCAGGGATCACGCTAGCCTCAGTCACTGGAAGAGGGAGATGTGTAGGAAAAATACCAGCCCACATGAAGTCATTGTGTGGAAACATCACCAAGGTGGGAGAGAATAAAACAGCTGATTGGTTGATCCCCGCAAACAATACAAAGTGGATTTGCTCAAAAGGAGGGCTTACACCATGCATTTCTCTAAAATCATTTAATGCATCTTCTGACTTTTGCATTCAAGTGGTGATAATTCCTAAAATCATTTATCATGCCCTAGAGTACATATATGACCAACAGATTTCACACACACACCTATTAAGAAAAAGAGAACCCTTTACCGCACTTACTGTAGCAACTTTGATGCTGATAGGAGGGGCAGGAGTGAGTACGGGGGTAGACTCCTTGGTGAAGCAATCCAAAGAGTTTCATTCCCTAAGAGTGGCCGTAGACAAAGACCTGGACCAATCGAAAAATCTGTATCAGCCTTGGAGAAGTCAGTAAGATCCTTGTCTGAGGTGGTACTACAGAACAGAAGAGGTCTAGACCTCCTATTCCTGCAGCAAGGAGGACTGTGTGCCGCCCTCAGAGAGGAATGTTGCGTCTACGCAGACCATACTGGGGAAGTTAGGGATACTATGACAAAGTTAAGAGAAGGGATAGAAAGGAGAAGGAAAGAGAGAGAGGCTCAACAAAGCTGGTATGAAACATGGTTCAATCAATCCCCCTGGCTTACTACTCTCCTATCTACCATTGCTGGACCAATTATATTGCTGCTGCTGGGACTGACATTTGGGCCTTACATATTTAACAAAATACTAGAAATAGTAAAGGGACGATTGGAAGCAGCTCACCTTATGCTGACAAGAGCTAAAAACGAAACTCTCCCAGAGGACCCTGAAATTGGAGAGACTTTGATGCTAGCTCACCAGGAGGTAAAGCGGTTTGATGAACAAAATGATAAAAAGAAAAGGGGGGATTGTGATAAGTAAGATAGAGGATGTGTGTTCATCAGGAAGAGAAACTCAAGGGGGTTGGGTTGTGTAAATGTCAGAGACTTACCATTGTATGTAATTACCACATATGGGAAGGAGATTTTTACAGGATAAGCAAGACTTGGAAACAATGCAAAGCAGACCCTACGACCTGCTTGCAAAACCGGCCAAAGATAGGAGAGAACCAGTCCGGAGGAAGAATGAGGATTATAAGAAGGGAGACGGAATAGAGGAAGTGTGTGATCCATTGGTGGAGTGCGGACTCCCTGGCTACACCCAGCGCTGTTTGCTTGCTATCGCTTGCTGTAATCAATAAATTTTAATTGGCTGAAACTTCAAGGCTGAACAAAATTATTCACCTAACCTATGACATACCCACTTCATAACTACCCCAAGTTGTGGAGTCTATTTATTTATTCCAGGTATGGCTTCACCTGAGGTCATCCTGGGAGTACCATTGAAGCAGGAAGCACAGCGTGTGAGCAGCTGGGCTTCTGCTGGGAGCAGTCCCTGGCGGCCCCGGTACCCCCGAACCCCTTTCCCGGCCATGCCGCCCCTCCAGCCCCAGCACCCCCATTGCCGGGTGCCGGCACTGCCAGGGGTCCCCCCCTCTCGGGGTCCCCGCTGGGGCTCCTGGGGCTCTCCTCTCTCTGCGCTCCCGCCCAGGGAAGCCGCGGCTCTCCCGGGGCTCCCCAAAACCAGTGTCCCCCCGCCGGGGCTCTGCCGCCACCACCGCCCACCGGGACCCCCCAAAAACACCTCCCGGGGACCCCCCGATGTCCCCCCGAGGGCAGCTGCGGCTCGGCTTTGCAGCCCTGCCAGCTCCGAACATCCCCCAGAAACCCCAAACCCAGGGAGCCCCGGGATATTTGGGGCGAGCTCCCCCTCCCCGGGCACCTGCAGGATGGGGCCGATGCTCCCGGGGTGCTGCGGGCTCAGGCAGCGCCACAGCCCCGCGATTCCCCGTCCTCTCCTCCGGCTTTTTCCGGCTGCCGCTCCGCCTCTTCCTCCCTCCCTCCTCCTCCTCCCCCGCTCCCGAAGCCGCGCAGCCGCGGGAGCGGCGGGATGGAGCCGGGAGCGGTCGGAACGCAGAGACGGGTGGGGGGAATGCCAGCAGTGACTGGGCTGTACTGGGATCGTACTGGGAGCAGCTCCTGGCTGAGCGAGTTCTACTGGGATCATACTGGGATCATACTGGGAGTGAGGAGGAGCAGCGCGGTGGCTCCAGCGCTGGGGCTGGGAGAGCTCCTGGCGGGCGAGGGGGAAGTGGGACCCCGGCACCGGGACCCTGAACCGCCATTGCCGGAACCGGGACCCCCCTGCTCCCCTTATCTTGCACAGGGACCCCCCTGAATCCCCCATTTCCGGACATCAGGGCCCCCTGCTCCCCTTTTCCTGGCTCCCAGCCTCCAGACTTCCCGTGTGCCTGATCCTGGGATGCCTTGGACCCCTATTCCTGCTTTCCCAGCCCCCAGCCCCTCCTTTGTGCAAAACCAGAGACGCCCTGAACGCTCCCTTCCCGAACATCCCGGGTGTCCCCTTCCTGATTCCCCCTTTTTGGGAAACCCTGGACTCCCCTTTCCTTGGCTCAAGGACCCCTGGAACTCCCTTCTACCTCTCCATGTCTCTGCCCCCAATTTCTGTGACCCTGAGACCCCCCTGCACCCCATTCCTGAGAACCAAGACCCTCTTTTACCCCTTTGCCCGGCACTGAGACCCCCCTTCACCCCTTTTTCCAGCACCAACACAACCTGTTCCTGGCCCCCCGTCTCTCCCATCCCCCAGCCCCACCCTTTTCCCTGATCTGGGACCCCTGGGCCCCCATTCCTGCCTTTCCCAGCTCCCAGCCCCTCCTTTCCTCACACTCAGGAGCCCTGGCAACCCCTTTCCTGGGCACAGGATTCTCTGGACACCCCTTTCCTTGACTCTGAGCCCCTGAACCTCCTTCCCAGGTCTGCCAGCTCTTCATGTCCCCCCTTTCCTTGGCCTGTGGACCTCCCTGGATCCCTAAACTCTCACTCTCAGCCCCCCAGCTCCCCCAAATCTCCATGTCCCCCCAGTTCTCCACTCCCTGCAGTTCCTGGAAGTGGCGCTGTCAGAGCCCAGCCAGAGGGTCCCCCAGTCCTTGATTGTGGGGGACGTGCATGGGAGCCCCTACGAGCGCTGCGGCAGCGAGCAGGGCTGGATGGAGCCGCAGACACCGGGGATGGAGGCAGGAGCTGAGCTGGGATATTGGGACAGCCAGAGCTGGCATATTGGGACAGCCAGAGCCAGGATATTGGGATAGCCAGAGCTGGGATATTGGGACAGCCAGAGCTGGGATATTGGGATAGCCAGGCCCTGCTCAAGGACAGGAACTGGCGTGTGGCCGACAGTGACCTGGAGACGGAGCCAGTACAACCAGAGTGGGGGGAGTGGGTGGAGTCAGGGGCTGGGCTGGGATTTGTGGGAATGGAGGACTCTGAATGGCTGGGATGGTATCTCTGGGGATGGAGGGGATCTGTGGGGCTGGGATGGGAATCCAGGGACTCCAGCTCCAAGAGGCTCCCTGGCGCTGGGACACAACTCTATGGGTCCGTTCTCTCCTCATTCCCAAGTCTCCACACGCTGCAGGTGGTTTCCAGCTGTGACCTGTCCAACGCAGCGTCATGGATCTCACCGGTATGGCTATGAGGGCTGAGATTTCATCTCCTTCCAGCTGGGATCCGGGAGCTTTGCAGTGTCCAACGGTGCAGCCTGGATCACCCAGAGGTGCTGGGAATCCAAAGGGATCATGGTGAAGCAGATGAAGCATTATCTGGGACACAACTGTGTGGAAAGGCCCCCAAAATACATCAGATATGGTCAGGAGGCTCTGGAGCACAAGGGTGGGTGTAAGAGGGAAAGGGCAATTCCTATGGGAATGGAGGACACAGGAATGAAGGAATTGCCATGGAATTTCCATTACCAGATCTCGCTCTCGTCCCAGTCGGGTGAGAATTCCATGGATGGATCTCCCCCCAATCCAGTGCCATGGGAATTCCATGGGGAAATTATTTGAATTGATGACCAATCCAATGAGAACAGTGCAATGAGAAGTAATCGTTGCTGGGATTCCATGGGACATCGATCCCAATCCTTTCCCCAGGCCGGCTCTTCTCTGCCCATGGCAACGCCAGGGGAGTGCCCTGTCCCTGCCCTGAGCCCAGCACGAGCCTTTCCTTGGGTTTTCCATGCCCTGCCTGGGGCAGAAGGGCACTGCCAGAGTGGCTTTGGTGGCCCCAGGCACCCGGCCAGGCTGAGCCACTGCAGGGGCTCCTGGGGAATGTTCCAGAGCAGAGCTGAAAGCAAACAGCAGTTTCTGGAGGGGATTCTGCCCCTGGGCCTGTGGTGGGAGCCGAAGTGCAACAGCCCGAAGTGCTGGGGCTCAGTGTCCCTCAGCCAGGCCATGTTCCCTGGCTGGGCCCTGTCCCTTGGCTGTGCCCTGTCCCTGTCCCTGTCCCCTGTCCCTCAGCTGTCCCCTGTCCCTCGGCTCTGTGGAGCTAGGGGTGGCAGCAGGACCCGGGGCAGTCCTGGGGGAGAACAACCCTGAGCCCCAGCTGGGCCATTTCCCCCCGTTCCCCCAGCTCCCCCCAAGCCACTCCCAGCATGGGCCCTGTGGCTCCCAGTCACCCCAGTATGGTCCCAGTCACTTCCAGTTACACTCAGTGATCGTAGTATCATCCCGGTCACTCCTGGTGTGATGCCTGTATGATCCCAGCATGATCCCAGCATGTTCCCAGGTGTTCCCATTCACCCCTATAATAGTTTCAGGCACTCCCAGTATGGTTCCAGTCCTTCCCAGTATGATCCCAGTATGAACCCAGTCACTCTCATTATGGTACCATTTTCCCCCAGTAAGGTCCTAGTCACTCCAAGTCACCCAGTATGATTCCAATCACTCCCAGTATGATTCCAGTCACTCCCAGATAGTCCCAGTATTATTCCAGTAACTTCCTTTATGGTTCCTCTGTGATCCCAGTCACTCCTGGTTAATGCAGCCTGGGGTCCCAGGGGTCCATCTGGCCCCCGGGCTGCCACTGCCATGGGTGTCTGCATAGCGCTGCGCTGTCAGGCTCAGCCTGTCTGGGTCCCTCGGCTCAGCTCCCAGCCTCAGGCAACTTAGCGAGCACCTCTGGAGTGATTTCAGCTCTGTGAGTTCAGTTCTCAGTGATTTCGCTCTGTGCTCACAAGTGCCTCTGGCAGACACACAGGGATAGAGAGAGAGAGAATACAGTTCCACAGCGGTGTCCTTTATTGCCAGCTCCTCTGAAGGGATGCAGTGACAGTTCTTCTGCCAAAATGGGCAGAGATGGGGGTTTATATAGGGTACCGGGGTGTTGGAAATTGTCCAATTGCCAGGGTTGAGGAGAATATGACCGATAGCCTTAGAGAGAGAGAACGAGGGCCTGAATGCCGAAGAGGGGCTTCTTTGGTCCAGTCACCGTGCAATGACAATCCCAAAATTTCATTAACCAAAGATGCAACCCATCCCATTAATCCCTATTGACCAAAAAGGTCATTGACCCAGTCTGGGTTTCTTTCTACTTTTAAGTCCTTCACAAGTTCCTTCAGTCTCTGGATGTGTGCGTGGATGGATTCCAAGCATGAAGAGAGATTGAAGCAACACATCCCTTCAAAGTCTTAGCAGCCATGTCCATGGGCTAGCAGTAGGAAGTCAATCACTGCTCGATTTTGAAACGATACATGTCTTGTGGTTTCTTCTTCCTTTAAGAGATCGCTTAGGGCAGCAGAGGTAGCATTGGCTTGCTTACTGAGCCATTACCCAAAGTGATTTATTTCACCAAGAGCTTTAGCTGCAGCTACCCAGGGCAGGAACAGGGAGACTGCAATCTTTTTTGGTTTGTTCCAATCATATAACTTTGGATCACAATTTTCATCAAATTCCATGTAGGATCTTTTGTGGAATTTTAATTCACTTTCTTTTTTCCAATTATGTAACAAGGTAATATTTGGAGTGAGGGTAGAAAATTTTCCAAATCTACAGGGACCTCCCTGGAGACAGGAGGGGATCCCAGCCTGTACTCTGTCACCACAGATGAGAAACTTTCCCTTGGGTAATACTTTGGGGTGGAGAGAGGATATAGAGATCACCCGACTGGTGTAATTGCACCAATCCGGATAGTTATAGGCTTTATTAATGGGTGATCTGTCTTTTCTGTATGTGTTTTTTGTCTGGTCAATTTCTGGCCAATTGTTCTTTGGACACCTAAAGTAAAATTTGACACAGTATGTGGCCTTGGAGGACCCCAACAGGTCAAATTCTTGGGGTTCCTCTGGAGCATTGGGCAACATTTTTGTCCACTTGTCCCAAGTATCTGCCAGGTTGGGTCTCTCACCTGTGGTGTGGAGGAGCTCTGAATTATAGATGGGCCAGTCATCTGCTAAGAATGGAATCCCTACCAAAAAACTGGAAAGTGGGTTATCAATGCTTCCCATGGATAAGCACATGGTATCCTGTTTTAATGTCTTTACTAAGGTTACCCAACCATTGTGGCTAGGCTGTGGGCTAATCCAGCCGAAGGCATACGGTACGGTGAGGAGCATCTAGGCAGCAGTAAGGACAGCACCAACAGAGACAATTTTCATCTTTGGACAAGGATGGGGCTTCTGATAGGGAATATAAGCAAAATTTGTTATCCTCCTTTCCTTCCTTCCCCCATGCCTTTTTTTTTTTTTCTCTATGCTAAGGATGGGGGAGTGGGCATAAGGTTAGGGTTTTTTGGTAAGAGTTAAGAAAGGAAAGCAATAGGGGTTTTTAGGGTAAACAAAGGGGTAATAACATGTCATTCAGAGAACAATTTGTGTTCAGGCTGTGTCTGGCTTATGGCTTGACTGCTACAGCAGAATATTTAGTCTGGTGTTACGTGATGGGATGGTCTTTTCTTTGGTGTGTGGACATTTGGTGACATCTTTGTCTCCAGGCAGAACTTGTCTGATCATGAGGAGGTCTTGTGTTCGAC